CTACATGAATAAGTAACAGAAAAAGAATGAATATAAGAAATTTTTCATTTAAAATTGGAGACCAAAGGCATATATTGCAGCATATCTAGATCAAAATAAATCAGAAAGATCACAGTACTAATTTTTTGATAAGGAAGACATCAAAATAAGTTACACAAAATCACCACATTAAGACTTTTCCTTGACAAATGTTGCTGCCAGTCAAATTATAGTTGTCATACAGGATCCAGTTACCATATGATTGCAAAGTTCACTATAAGAAGACTCAAAAGCAAGAGAATTTAAGAATTACACATATAGTAAACAAAGTGAAATTCATAATAAAAGAAAAATAAACGAAGATATAAATGTTGTTCAGACAAAATTTAACAGGTTAAACGTCAACCACAATCTTTGAAGCAACTTAACAAGTCCAATTTCAATAACAACACTTGCTGCACAAAGATTACAAATCCCCCTTGCTTCTCATACAAGGTTAAATACAGGGGAGTTATGATATACAGAAACCAATTACCACAAAAATCATAAAAAGGACTATTATGACAAACCAAGAGAGAGGGGGAGAAATAGTAACTAAAACGAATTCCAATATTTTCTTGAACCAAACCATGAGCCCCATTAGACCTTTTTTCATGAAATCCCTTAAAACTAATCTATCATTCCCCTTTAACCACTCAACATCCAATCCAAAGTCATTGATCCTGTTACAGGGCTAAACTATTATTGTTCCTACATTGCTCATGAGAACAAAAAACAACTTCCATATGGCATCACCAACCAAATTATGATGTATGTTGAAAGTAAAAACAGCTTTTTTTACTTCAAAAGTACCTAAAACAGTTTACCCAATATACCTCTCAAATAATAAAAACAAAACTACTAATTGGTCAACAGATAAAACTGATTCAGAATAACATATATGTGGAATAATTCTATTACAATATTAAGGGAAATGTAATCATACAATTTGAAGTTTTGAAAAAAGAAGAATAACAATGACACCAACCTCATTAAAGATATATTGACAGAACATTGATCTAACTATTGCCTCTTGGAAGCCAGTGGAAAGAATAAATTCTAAATCAGCTCAACTAAACTTCCAAATTTCATGTAGCACAAATCAAATGCTACATACCAAGGAAATTGTTTGTGATGTCAGAAAATTTAGCTTCCTTGCAAATATCATTAACAGCCTGAAGTCTTGTCTCCAAAGGCACTGCCAAGTCCTTTGTGAACTGAGTAAAGATGGGGCTTCTCTTTCCAGCCTCAACAAGATCAAGAACCTCAGACTCAACCTTATCTAGTGCATTAGCTTTCACTGCAGCAAGGTATAATGCAGAGGCATAGTTTCCAGATCCCCCAAACAAAGACAGCGGCAGCTATATGACATTGAGAAACAATGAAGAATAATTAGAATATATACATGATATTTTCACATGTAGATGCCAAGTTAAAACATTCAAGTGCCCCAACAAAGAATTTATTCATCAAAAAAAGCCTGTCATTGGTAGGACATAATACACGTTGAATGACCCTGTCCTAATGAAAAAGTATAAGTATATAGACACTATTTACATTGACAGAAGTTCCAGGGTGGTCAAAACAAAATTTTCATATTCATTGAGAAAATTCAAACTCTTAGTTGATACACATGAATTGACAATGTGTTCAAATGAAAAAATGTTGACAGCTAATAGTGTTCAATTACCTTAACGTTTTCCTCCTTTTTCCCAGCAGCAGTAGCCAAATTTCTTGTGAACTGCAAAAAACAGTGTCAACCAATGAAGCAGCACATGAACAAAAGAAAATGACTCATCTGCAAGACAGCTGCTTGCTAAAATACTTAACCAAGAGCTATCACATTGACTAACATGCCCATACTAAAACCAAAAATCCCGAATTTTCTCGAAAGCTAAATAGATAAAAACTTCAAACCATTAAAAGTATCTCCAATAATAAAACGATTTTAATAGTAAATTGAATAATAATAACAGAATACTCAAATACGAAAAGAAAAACCAGTAAATAAGCCAATCAAATGCAATAAAAAAAAATATTCCATTTCCGTAAGAAACAAATTGTTAGGCTTTCACCACTAAAAACTTCAACGAGATCGGAATTATACAAAAAAAAAAAACCAAAAGAAGCGAAATTCTGTTTCAGTAGCTTGCTTTTTCAGTGATTTCTGTACGTTACAGGCTTATTGCTTTACCTCGGGGCAGAGGAGAGATCTCTGAAGAACGGATCTGTTAGAGAAGAGAGAATCGGATCTCAGGAACTTGTTGACGAGAGAGAAGCTCGATCTAACGCGACCTGCCATTGCTACTTCGAAGAGCAAAGAACCCTAAAATTGAAATTTTACTCGACTGTTTCTGTGACAGACGTAGTCTTGTAGAGGAGGTGACAAAGAAAGTAAGCAGCTCTGGGCCTGAAAGTTTTGCGGGAACGACAGTAAGGTTCATGGGCTTTATCACGTGTACATTTTTTTTTTTAATTTTGTAATTATGAAATTTTGAAATTTATTTTTCATTCTTTATTTTCTTATTTTATTATAATATTAATTTGTTTGAATATTAATAACAGTGATATTATTATTATTATATAAATTTAAAGAAAGTTATGTTGTGATTTTAATTATATTCTATATTTGACTCAAATTAAGTATTTTTCTTAGTCTTTCATTCACATGTGAAAATACAAAATTCATCATTGTGAAATTATGACTAATTATGTAATGAGTAATTTCTATGTGAAATGTATTATTGTACTAATTTTATTTAAATTATATTTTAATCATTGTTTTATTAATAAAATATAAAATATTTTATTTCTGTCATACTATAGTTTTTAATTTTTTAATAATTTAAAGCATTTTTTAAAATAAAATTTAAAGAATAAACAAAATAAACACATACATGGGTCAAACTCTAGCCAATGTGTGCAAAAGATTATTATGTGAACAGCTATGTTTGCACAGATAATAGCAAAGCCAAGCAAAGTGGCCAAATTACACAATTTCTAAAATTTCACTACCAAATTGACTGTAAAAATTCTCTGACAGACTTAATTACATAATCTCGAAGATACAAGGTTTAATCACTCAAATTACAGATAACGGGTTACTTTGTAGTTGTTTCCAGAATATGGAAGCTAAAAGAATGAACTATGAATCACTAAGATCTGTATATAATAAACTGAAAGCAAGGATCAAACATCAAATTTCATATGTAATTACTTCAAGAATCTAATATTTTATTTTCCAGAGTAGAGAGGAATGTGATCGATCAACTGCAAACTTCAACTGACCTGACAAACTCTCAGACAGTGTATGTGCTGATAACTTAGACCTCAACAAAGACAACAATGCTTTATGCCGAGATTGCTTTTTCTTCAGCACCTCAACAAAAGCATGTAATCCAAGCCACTCTACTTCCTCCTTGTCCAATTGAAGAATGGGACGAAGATTAGGGCCCAGATACATAGATTTCATTTGGTTTTTTATTAGTGTGTTCATGTACCTAAAGGTTAACAAATGGAAGAACAATGTAAATCAACAATGAAGAGCTAAGAAATTTAATAAAAGGGATGATAAACAGGGAAGTTAGAATGAGAGTAATGATTTTAAATAAACCTTTCAAAGAAATCAACTGAATGTTAGCTCTAGGGAACAAGTATATTTCAGGCTTAACGGAGGACAGAAATAGGGTAGCATTCATTTCCAGAATACAAGGGCACACCATATTCAAACTGAATAAGGCTTGTGTATTTAGAAGAGAATTTAAGTAAACGTACCTTATGGACCTCTCAGTTATCCTGGAATAGTATCTTGCCCTAAATTTGTAAATATATGATATCTCTGATACGTAGCAATGGAACTTCATCGCACATAACAAGAAAACTTGATAGATATTCAATCTCACAACAGCTGCTGAATTGATATTTGAGTCGAGGAATACGGGATGGCACTTGGGTCTCATGAAGCAACACAACTTTCTTTTCAAACTGCAACCTGGTTTACCTTGCCAGCAGATGGTAAGAGTCGAACTAAGATGATTATTCAAATACCTGTTAGTAGTAGATGAAACAAGTTGGTATGAGATGCCCATTGTGCATCGGGTTTGTGTTTATAAATAAAGGCTTGAACATTTGGACATATTGAGAGGAAAACTTCCTTAGATGACAAGTCTTAATCAGAAAAAAGTAAAGGAAACTAACCTTCTATAGTCCCCTTGAACTTCAAGAGTGCAACAGTTGATGAGCAAACCACTCCATGGAATAAATGATTTACCATCTTCACCTACATACATCCTACTTGACGAAAGCCATGATTTAAATCCTATATCAAAATTTACACAGAATTTTTCCCTATTCATGTAACAGTTGTACTCCCCAAATCCTTGCTGCAACCTGCAGAAGAATGCAGCAGCCTGCTCCTTTGAGGTAGAAACAAAAAGGTAGTCATCAATAAGTCTCAACAGAATAAAGCTAGGGCATGAAATGATTGTTCCCGCTTTCTTGTTTTGCACAATAGAAGCATCATGAGCTCTACGGCTTCCAGATAATTCAGTGGCTTGACAAGTTTTCTCAAGAAATGGATAGATCAGGTTCCTCTCCATATGTCCATAATATAATGAGCAAAGCAGAGAAGATAGAGTGCACCCTTGAGGTATACCTGTTCCTTGCAAGTAAAAATTGTTTCCCAAATGCAGCACATTTCGTTTCACGAGCTCATTTAGAATAGAAAAGAGCTTTTCCTTTTTCATATATCGGCATTTGCCCTGAGAGATTATATTCCCAGCCACAAAGTAATCACTTAAAATAATGCAAAAAATAGCTTAAGGAGTACAATATGTATAAACATCCTCAACGAGAGGATTTCTAAGCGAATTAAAAGATAATGCAATAAATAAATGATAAGAGTAAAATCAATTTAGGGTAATATTGAAAAAATAGTGTCTTTTTTTGTGGGGAGACGAAGAGGGAAAGAGAAGATATCATTTAGCGAAATGGAAGGATGTGAAAAAACCTATATGGGAAGGGGGTCTCGGTTTAAGATCAATTAGGGAGATGAATTCTGCCTTACAGGGGAAATGGTTGTGGAGGTTTACTAGAGAGGAAGGCAAACTGTGGAAAGAGAGTTGTGGAGGCTAGGTGGGGGAAGGACGGAGGAGGAAATGTTTTAGGAGGTACTGGCAGACCTCACAGTTTGAGTCTGTGGAGGAAAACCTGTGGGGGATACAATAATTTTGCTGAATGTCTGAGATGGAAACTGGGTAATGGTGATGGCATCAGGTTTTGGAAGGATATCTGGCTGGGTGACTCTAAATTGATGGATTGTTTTCCGTCTATTTTTGCAATTGCACATGATAAAGACATCCCATGTGAACAAAATCTAAATGAGCTCTAGCGAAGGGAGGGAATGGAATGTGCAAGTGTGCAGGAGCTTACAAGACTGGGAGGTGGAGGATTATTGCAACCTGTTGAGCACTCTGGCTGATATCAGATTGGGAATACAGAAGGATGAGAGACTTTGGAAGCTGAGCTTTACAAATTCTTAACTAAACAGGGGGCTGGGGAGGAAGTCAGAATTTAGAATAATCAAATCTGGAAATTAAGTGCCCCACCTAGAATGGTTTTTTTTTTGCTTGGGAAGCTGTTATGGAGTGTATTTTGACTGTTGACATGCTGAGAAGGAGGGATAACATCATGTTTAATAGATGTGTTTTGTGTAAAAATGTTGAGGAGTCTTGTAATCATATTTTGTTGTGGTGTCCTGCTGTCTATTGTACTTGGTCTACAGTCCATGGTTTAATGGGTTTGAATTGTGTTGTGGCTGGGAGTGTGAGAGTGGAAGTCGTGGGCTTAGGAGGGGGTGTGTAAAAAGAAAATGCTGTTACGGTTAATTCCACTATCTATTTTCTGGGTGGTTTGGAAGGAGAAAAATTTGAAGGCTTTTGAGGGTATTGAGAAAGATTTGGCTAGTATTAGAAATAATTGGATCTATATTTTTGGTTACATGATTTTGGGTCATGATATTAAGGAACTCGATGATTTTGGAGCCGTTTTTTACCACTTGATTGATTTATAATTACTTTGTATACTGTACCCCTTTCATACAATGTTAATAATACTAACTAACTTTTATTTTTAAAAAAAAGGGTAAAAGACAAGGTTAACTTTGTCAAACCAAAGTATTTCTCTTCAACAACCGAAGCATATCACTGTGAACAATTTGGGTTTAACTAAAGACAATACTCACCAGGTGAGTCACTATGCCCGTTCAGCCAGGAAAAGAAGTTCCTGGCCTTGACACTTACTTTCTTTTTTCATGTTGACAAAAGGAAATGTATTAGGGTTAAAAAAAATAATAAGAAAAAAAGAGAAGAAAGGGTATTTACAAAACAAAGTCTATAAGATCTGATAAAATCCTCATTATTTACACTTGATTCCCATGGAACATGAACCATTTCATCTTCCACGGAATCTAAAGACCCAGCATTTTCTTTCATTCCAAGTAATTTGAAATGGACTAAGCAAGCGACAATCCTGATAATGGACTAAGTAACCATAATAGGCTTCATAAAACTCCTCGTGACCCAGGGAAAAGGAGATGATAATGGTATAGGAGATGCAGACTGTCATCGAAAATGAAAAATATTGGGGCAGAGCGAGGCAGAAACAACTGATTTAAGGAAAAATAGTAGAAATTTACCTGTGTATAATACACTTCTTTTTCTGTCAGAAAGAAAAGAAATAGAAACATAAACATAACTTGGACTTTGATTAGAGCAACTCAATCAAATACCTGATTAACAAGAACACCATGCAACGAGCGGAAGAGGACAGAAGACTTGACTCTTCTAAAGTCAGCGCTCAATGCCAGATTCTCACAAACACGAGGTGATCTTTTTGGGCAAATAACTTGATAAGACTGTTCCAAATTATATTCATCTTCTAATAAGACCTCATCCATTACACTAAGCAGCTTATCCTGATCAATAGTATCAAATGCTTTGGATACATCAGACACTACAATGAATATGCCAGACATATTTCCTGACCTGTCTTTCAGCCCAGCAAGAAATGGGCATAACTTTCTGTAAACATCGTTATAATCGAAAACTGATGATCCTAACTTCTGTGGCTCTTTTGCCTGCAGGCCTTTTAGAACAGCATGTGTATCCCGAAGAAAAGAGTTCACAGACTTCAAATCTTCACATTTAGGCATTCGATTATATATTTTTGCAGTTCTATCACTTCCACAGAACTTGGCATTCAGAGAAGATTCTTGTCCTGGCAACCTTGATGATGTTTTAAGATTAGCTATCATTCTTACTCCATTTTGTTTTGGAAGAAGTCTGAGTTTTGAGAAACCAAAAATTCTGTTGCTCAAAATGTCGTTAACAGTAGCCTCATCCACATGAACGTAGCCACTATCATTGAGATTGGCAATAGCCCCTTTTGTCAATTTTTCCCATATATACTTCCTATAATAATATACCTCTTGTTTCCCTTGCTCACTTTCAGTAACATAAAAATTGGCTTGCACCAATGGCATAACTAGACATGAGAACAACCAAAAAATCCAGTTCATCAAAAGCTTATTCTTCATATTCCGTACAGCATTATTCAGTTTATCAAGATTTTTACACTTGTTTATACTCTGTCCTGATAAACCTTCTTGCATCATGTAGCTTGATGAATTATTTTTTGACAAAAAAGCAAACCTTGAAGTTTTCAGCTTATGCAGGCATTGTTTTATAGAGAATTTTTCAAATCTCCGGAGCCCAACAAATCTGTTGATATTTCTCCTCATTATTCTCTGATTAGAAGGAGTTCCTAGCAAATCCAGAGGAATAATACTCCTACAAACCGCCCATAAAAAGGATACCACCTGATTTTTTGAGCAATAAGGCTTGCTTATATTGGCCTGGGGATTAACCACTTCTTCCTTTCTCTTGCAATTCTTAGAACTGGAATAATCAGGTTGTTTATGTGTTGTCTGCCCTAATTCTGTCATCTGCAACAAAAGATCTAAAAGTAAGAATTTTGTAAAAGAGAAAGAGAAGGATTAGAAACATCAGTAAGAGAAAGAGAAAGCCGCAAATAAGTATGCTAAAACTTGATTGAACTGCCATAATACTCTTCCATTTACAGCAAAAGAAATAAAGAACAAGATACACACTATGAATTTCAGACAGTAGCAGAACCGTACAGTACTGCATAAAAATAAGCAAGGTACATAAAAACAGGAAAAGATAATCCCACAAGAGTTTACTAACATCAATCATTGAGCTTGAATTTTTCTTAGCTTGTAGATATGCAGAAGGATCAGGACAATGTTTGTTCAATAATCTTCGGTACTGGCACTTCTTGGTTCTGCGTATAAGCATCTTAAGTGAGTTCAGAAGACAGTGAAACCTGCAGAACCATCAACAAAAACAACGTTCTGATCAGAAATCTAAGTTTCAGTTGAGATTATTTTCTCAAAGATAAGTTTCCACACATTAAAGAAACCCCACCCCACCACCCCCCCCCCCCCCCACCAAAAAAAAATCTGGTTTGGACATTGGCATAATAAAAAATTCAAGGTCATCTCAAGCATAACTCTCCCGTTCATTTATAAAGAGGAGCTACCAGAAAGTGGCATAAAAGATAATGGATCCCAGATCATTAAGCAGTTCAGAACTCAGCAAACACAGTGAACAAACAGTATGAGAAGGCAACTAAAAAGTTCCATAATAGTAGCGATCTATTGATGCAAGAGTACAAAAGGATGTAATATGTAATGTTCAACTTACAGGCATGTAGATCCACTGGAACAAAAACCATCTCTGTGGAAGCATTGCTTTGACTGGGCACTTATGTTTACATCAGATAAGCCAAAAATATTGCAAATAAGAAACTTTGCCCCAGAGAAATTTGGCTTTAAGTTCTCTAGCATATCTGCAGATTATTAAGGCAATGTACAGCATTTTTATGCTACAGAATTTGAGAAATAGTTCCATATAATGTCATGGATATAAAATCAATTACACTTTATAGATTCAGCATTTGTGGTTTGAGCTTATTCAAATTCAAATCCCGTGCTTTCTTTTTCTGACATAGTATTTTTGATTAGGCAGTTAATCATTAGGTTAGAGAACACACACATGCCTGAGCTTCTGGGATTATATGTGAGAGTTCAAAACTTTTTTTTGAGATAGTGAGAGTTCAAAACTAAACAAGTCAAGATTAGAATAAGTACATAAAATCAAAATGTTATGAATAAGAATCTAAAAAGACTAATGATCTTATAAATAATGATAAACAACCAAACCTCAAGTAGTAAGTTGTCATAAATATATATATATATATAAGGTTCAAATTTGAATAAGACAAACTATAGACCATGGAACTAAAGCTTGTCCTAAAACCAAACCAAGTTACATGAGCTAAAATTTAAAGAGTAGACAAACAACGCTATAATGCCATAGCAAAAATATTTAAAGAACTGAGTTTGAAGAAAATGAAGAGAAACTGTCTGCTAGTCAGATTTAAAGAGTTATACCAACAAAAAACCTACACTTTAACAGAGAAAGAGTACTTGAGCTGGATGTCCATTTTACAATATACTAAAGCACAAAGGATACGTTTTTTTGGGAAAAGTGAGGATGAGCGTTTCACACTATAAAACATGTTTCTCCTGTCAATCATGCTTTTGTTGATGACTGAACATGACAATTGCAAGGCCAAACAACATAAGCATGGACTTGGCATCTGATAATGAAAAAAAAAAAAAGAAAATTGAAGAAACAAAAGACATTGACATGGCAACTTTTCTAGCAATAGAAGGATGTCACAAGAAAAAAAAAAGATTTGAAACTAACATTAGGCTAGAAAAGTAGAGGCCACATATAAAAATAAAATATTGGTCCAAAGGGTTACTAAATTATGTTTTGCCTTTTGATTAAAGGTTAGGTATGTGAATTGGTCCTCAAATATCACTTTGAATAAATGAAAACAGAATTAAACTTCTTTTATTATTGTCTACAAAGGGTTTGAAAATCTGTAGTAAGAGAAGAGAGAGAGAGAGAGAGAGAGAGAGAGAGAGAGAGAGAGGATAGTGTAAGATCACTGACGAGCTAGAAGAAGGGAGTTCGAGGTCGTTGAGAAGGAGGAGGAGGAAAGGGAAGGGTCAGCCGGTGAGGACCAACCAGTAAAGGAAAGGGGATGGCTAGTCAAAGGAGGTTCTTTGTGATTGAAAAAAAGTCCTTTGATGTAGTCAGCAGGGGTAAGAGCTGGAAGGGGATGAGAATATGTGAAAACAGGAGAGGCCTTAGGGTTTCTATTTCTCTGGAGGAGGATGAAGTTGGTTGGCTGGTGGGGGTGCTAGAAGACTTCTACTGGAGAAAGGGGGAACATTACTGGGTAAGAACAGGAAGGAGAGAAACCACAGACTCTGGTTTAGGGTGGAATAGGAATGGAAGATTTTTGGTCCTGTTGGAGGAAAGAGGAAAACAAATGAATCGCATCTTTATTCCTGACGAGGAGCAAGCAGGGGGCTGGTGGAGATTGATGAAGGCTGTGTTTGACCTGGCAGACCATCCCATTGTGAACCCTGACAAAAGGGGGAAACCAGAGAAAGTTGCAATCCCCGGGGAAGGGGAGGAAATGAAGGTGATGTCGAGATGCTATGAGAAGGTCCATTGTTCTCACTGTCGGAATGATTTTTGGATTGCCCTGGAGGGGGCAAAGAAGCTGAACTTTGCAGAAGCAATGAAAAATGGGAAAAGAATGGAGAATTGGGTAGGGCAGAAGATACCCGCAAAGGTGATGGATCGAATCAAGTTTGAAATTCAAAGTGGGACAAACTCCCGCCAAGAGGAGAATTCCTTAAACGGTGGTGCAGGGGGTTATTTAGGGGATTCTACTCTTAAAGCCCTTGGGGACAAATCCAGAGAATTAGGGGGGAAGATGGGTAAGGCCAGGAAACTGACTTGGGCAGAAAAAGGTGAGTGGATCGACCAGGCAGGGCCCAGCAGGAGAATCGAACAAAACAGAAAAGTAGGGAGGAGATCAAGCCCATTGGTCAAATGGATGTGAAGACCCGTGAGGAAGAGCCAAAGCTCGCATTCATTAAGATTATTATAAGAACCTTGTTTCAATATCTACAATTAAACAACTTAATCTTTTAATATAACCATATCCAGACCGATATAGATAGTTTGAATAGATAATTCGAGTATTTTGGTAATTTAGCAAAGTCTTGTTTCTGTTCTTCATGATATCCACAATAATTCAATTTGTGTTACATAGTTCCAGTGATGTTCCCCCACATATTCTTTTAAGTCGACCTTGATTTATGATCAACATGCTCAGCATGAGAACATTACAAATATCATCGTCTTCCACTTGGCACAAAGGACGAATTTTTATAACCTATGACAATAAAAGAGATGAGTAACTCTAAACTCCCAAAAAAGCCTACAATCAACGAAAAAGATAAAGAGAAAGAGTTCATTGAAGCTGAGAAACAAGAAGAATCGCCGTATCTTCCTAAGAATGTAGATCTTGAGATTATTAAAAACGTTTTACTAGTTAAAGAGAATTCTATAAAAGTCCAATGCAAGAAGGAATCTAAGCTGATAATTGTGCCACAGTGATGTTCAAATGAAGTTGAAGTGCAGTAGGTTAATATGTCAATTTCATTCTACAGCCAAGATTTCACATTCTTAAGCGATTGTGTGTTTCTAATATTTTTTTTATTGGAAAGAATACTAAGTACAAAGCTCACTAAGTTTTCAAAAAGAAGCTCAAAAGTTAGTTTTTTATATCATTCACCACTTTAAATTGTGGATGAGTTTTCTCCAATCAAATGAGAATGATATAGAAAATTGGAAGTTTAGATAACCTATATAACTAGAAATTATGATTCGATAAATATGAACTTGTTAGTATTTAGTTTAAATAACTACTATAGTTTTAATAACTTTAAGATTTCATTCTTCTTCGTATTTAGTTGTCTTATTTATGTTAGTAGTATTATTTTCTAATTCTATTAATATTAGCATTTCTTAGTCTAATTTTATTTGAGAAAGGTTTCTGTGAAGCATCATTTTAAATATATTTGTAATCTCCCTCTTGAAACAAACTTTCATTATTTAATAAACTATCCTGAGAATTTCTCAATTTTCTGGTTGTATGCTACGATGAAACTCTTAACTATGATGCTTAAGATTTAGACGTAATATCTAAGAAACTCTATGTTTTTATCCACAAGTTCTTAAAGTTGGCAGCAAATATATCCTAATTTGTTCTACATTTTGATATTTATGTTCATGGTTATGATTGATTTAATCAATTTTATTAATATTATTAATATATAAGTTATTTATATATTTGAATTAATTTAAATTTTAAACAAAAAATATGGCAAGAAATGAAGAAACTATAAGTCAATCTAATTTGGTCCAGACTGGACTCTAATCTCTTAACTTTTCCAGCTATATCGATCAAGTCTAATTCTGAACTGGTGAATAACCTACCTCTACTCATATTTTAATTGAGTAAAGTATATTTTTGACGGAGGGTGTAATTTTAAAAGTCAAAGATGACTCAGTTTATTAGTTGGTCTACAAAAGAGGGACATATGGCTAGAAAAGGAAAATGAATAGTTTTAATTTTACTTAGTTTATGCAATAAACTTCTAAAAAATTGAAGAAATTATGAAAATTTTTAATATGATTGCAGCTTCTTTAAATGCAAGAATTCAGCTAATTCTAAATAGGGAATTTACTATTTCATAGAAACCCTTGCAGTCCCTTGAATATGTTTGCAATACTGATCTTAACAACAATTATGCAGAAAAAATTTCAAAAGTTCTTGAATTCTTTAAACTCATGGAGTGGGTTGGATTTTCTCTAAATTATCCCATATAACTTATTCAAAATAGGCAACTAAGAAAGAAGCTCAAGGTAGTATTCTTCTTCTCTAATTTCTAGTGTTCTATGTTAATGGACCTATAAGAAGATCTTAAAATAAGGGCCTTACCGAAACAAAAGGAGAGCTAACTTTTTGCCTTTTCAATGTGAGATTAACGCTATCAAGTCCCCTTCTCTTCCTGTTGGGTCCTGATACAGAGTTATTAACCAATCTTAGGTGAGTGAGATAGTACAAACCACCAACAAAATCACCATATCCCATAAAACATACACATACATTAAATCCATATCAACAAAAAAATAACAACTATTCATATAAGAGTTGATAAATAAAGAATCAAGCATCCAAATCTACAAAGAAAGTAATACGAACATGGCACATTATGTTCTTCCACTCTTCTCTCTAGAGACGAGGATTTTCCTTTTCTTGGATTATATATAACCTTTATGTTACAGTCTGTTTTCCTAGGTTTTCTCCTCTGCAGGTAGAGGATCCTACTGTTGAAGCTGCAATAGTTTTTACTTTACAGTTTAAACTTTATATAATTCATGTCATGTTGAACAAAATAAGCAAACTAAAGGGCATAAATTCATTAGTACATGTTATGCTGAAGAAAATAAGAGAACTGAAGGACATAAATTCATACACGCAAACATGTGTTTGTGTAAGCATCACGTTCTTGTCCATAGGAGTTGGTGGAACAAAATGCAAGAAAACTGTGATATAAAAACTAAAAAAGAATATTCGAATAAAAGCTGAAACCGAGAATTTAGAATACAATCCAGTGGTAGTTGGAGAACTGAATAGGCAAAGAACCTTGATAGTCTAATTTCTGCTTTGACAACTTCAGGCATAAGTCATTGATAGGGGGACCAGACACCTGATGATGTTTATTATGACAAAGCGGCAAAAATATTGACGTAGACTTCAGTAGATAGGCCATAAGATCATCCCCCACCTATGAAGCAGCATATTTGATAATTCAAATATTTGATATTTTAACATAAGATCATCCCCCACCATAAGATCATCCCCCATCTTAAGCTTAGCATATTTTAACAAAAAACAATCTCAATACAGATATTTGATATTGTTTTAGGAAGCAACACAAAAATCTTATCATCAATAATTCAATTTACCCGTTTATGAAGAAGATCCCATGCTGGACAAGTCAAATAGTCTACAACAGGGCTTGAACGATTATGCTGTTAAATAGAGGAGAAAGAAATCTGATAAGGAAATTAAAGAATCAGAGATGATGTCAGATGATATCTACCAATCTTTCTATAGGAAGATGATATATATGAATACTCCAAATACTTTTACAACTTTAGAAGCTCTAAAATAAATAACGTCAGTCAGCAGTACAGGTATAAAATGCTCAATCATCATATTAGAAATCTGTCTCACATGCGCTGGAATAAAAGCATAAACTAGAAATGTAGAAGCACATATCATACATGAAAACATTCGGCAGTATCTCTGGCAAGATCTATAAAAATTTAACTGAACAATCATTTAGGAATAATTACTTGGAGGGAAAAGATCAAAGGAACTCTCTAACATCATGTTCGGATTGAGGAAAATGGAGGAAAAAGAAATAAAATGATGGGACGCTCACGTTCTTTTCACTTGTGGGGAAAATGCATCCTTTTGGCAGAAAATTTAATTGATTGCAATATTGGATTGAAGACCAATATATCAAAAGTTGAAGTATAATATGATAATAAATATACACAATCACATTTATGGATATGAAATGCAATTTTCACCGCCGCAAAATGATCACAAGCTTCCATATAGGCTGCTTACCCCAGCCCATTGCTCTACTTCCCGTAAGACAGATGGCAAGATACGATATAAATATAAATATATACTTTCACCAGAAAGATGGATCACTTACTCTATTATAATCACTGCATAATATATTGGACTTAGAGCCCTCAGGTAACAACATTTCAATAATCCTTCTCACAATCTGAAAACATGTGCAAACTAAAAATTGTATTAGGTCATGCAAAATAATCTAGATCAACTTAAACTATACAAGTTGCACTTTAAACTACTTCTACTTATAATCTTTACAGTAATCCTGCAACTCCAGTTACCTGATCCAATTGACGGAAAATCTTCATACATTTGATTCCATTTTAACGTATTTAAAGAAATTTAAAAGAAAAAGAAAAGAGAAATTCTAAAGACTTGAAGATAAGAATGTATAACGACAGATATACAATGATAAACAACAAAGAATTTATTGGCCGTGAAACGTGTACCTCCAGCTGAGAACAATGAGAGTCAGGATAGAAGTCGATCAGAGGAGAGGCATTGTCATTGATGACGACGAAGCAGCAGTTAAGAAGCTGGCGGTAATGGAGCGGATCATCAGGACGGACGAGAAAAGAGATTGCGTTTGAATGAGCGCACCGGAGACAACGCCGTCCTTTGCAACGGCAAATAGTCGGCGAAGATGATGGAACCGGAGGGATAAGAGAGATAATAGTGCTGGCTAGGGTTCTTACTTTGTCCCTGAATAGACTCCATAGTACCTCTGGTACCTTCCGTCTCTCCGGCATTTGCCTAGTTTGCAGAGAAGAAGAGGGAAATGAAACTGAGAAGTACAGGAGGTGCTTATTATTCCATTTATAGAGGCAGCGGTCCTCAGTTTGAAAAAGCGTATTTCCAAATTATTTTGTGGATTTGACTTTTTGACTAATCGGAAATGATTTGTTTAAAATCAAAATAAAAATATTAATTAATAGATTTAAAATATGTATTTTAATTAAATTATTTAAAATGTAGATTGCTACAGCGTAGTGTAAATAATTAATTATTGAAAATATTAAATTAAATTATTTAAAATAAAGTGGTGGGCCCCAAGCTTTATCCACCTGCCCAAATCCACTTCTTCTTGTACGTTCTTTAGATTTCGAGTCCTTCCTCTCCTTCTCCACCTAACGAATTTAACTCCTTTATTTTCTCCCCTCTAAAACCTTCCGTGTCGGTAGAAAAAATCCCGTGGAGATCGCCGAGAACCCTAAATCATTTCTTTTTTTGCCTTGTAATAATCAAAAAGAAGAAGTTTGAGAGAAGATGCTGCAGCTGTTATTCACTCTAGCATTCTCTGCGGTGCCGCTGACTCTGTATATTCCTCCGGTAAGAAGCCTGAATCTGTTTGTGGAAACTATGGAGGAGCTTTTCAGAGAGTCAAGAATGTATACTAATAGACTCTATCCACGTGCTCGGCACGTCTGGTCCAGGTTCTTGGATTGTATGCTTTGCAACTGGAGGCTAGATTAGATTAAACTTAATTTTCAAAATTCTATGCATATATAGATTTTTTATTTGATTTCTCACTAAAATGTTTTCTTCTTTTGATTTGATCGCGGAATTTTTTTGAAATTTATGTAATTGTATGAGTAATTGCGTATCGCTGTTTATATTGACCAATGAAGAAGACGGTCTTGTTTCTTCTTTTCAATTTCTTGCCGTTCTTCTTCCATGTTTGGAAGAAATATGTTTAGAATTTATGGAACGTTGATTGCAAATGAATTCTTGCGAAGTTTTTGATTATCTCCAAACTTAGTCTTAAGGAATCTGCGTATGCTCCTTCTTTTCGCCTGGTGTTGAGAATATGATTGGGAATTTGGTTTGTCTCGTTTCAGGCGATGAATATCTGTAAATTTTTTAAAAAATAAATAAATAAATAAAAGATTTTATTTTTTTAATATAAATAAAAGTTTCAGAATTATCCAAAGTTTTCCCGTGGAGTTTGGTGACAGCTGTGGAGAATCAGAGAGCTGTAAAAGAGCCACGTGGCAAATTGGGTCATGGTTCATGAATTGGATAAGTTAAAAAAAGAAAAGACAATATATATATATATATATGTATATATCGGAAATGTTAAGCAAATAAATGAAGGTAGCTACAAAGGTTTTGGATAGCACAAAAAGTTTTTATTTTATGTGAGAATTGATTTTTATTTTTCTTTGAATGTTTCTATTTTATATAGAATATATCTTTGTAAAATGGGAAATAGAATTCGGCCAAAAGTTTATGGCAGATCTAAAAAAAAAAAAATGGTGTGTTTATGATACAGCATGCGTATATAGTGAATTTATCTTATATACATATATAATATTATGTAAATATTTTTTTAATTGTCATTGTAAAGTAACTTACTTTTTAAATATGGAATAATTAAACTTAATATTTGAATATAAATAAAATATATGTAAAATTCAAGGGCGAAATAAAATGTAAAGCAATAATTTTAGATAGTCTAATGACTAACAAATGATAGGATGGTCGTATACAATATAAATTATAGTTAAAAATAATAAAATATAGTTAAAGAACTTAATGAATGATAGTTAACCAAAATTGGTAATCAAATAGAGTATAAGAAAGTAAAAATTGATTATTAATGATCATAAATATTAAGAGACTATAATATTATTAATTGTGTTATTGATATACATATATTATTTAATTAATAAAATATATTAATATTTATTTAAAAAATAATATAAAATTAATAGTTTCAAGATGCGGAGAAATTTTCTTTAACTCTAAAAATAAATTATAATGTAAAATATTTATATTTTTAAAAATTGATATTATCAATTATTTATATGATTTTCATTAGAGAGAGCTTAAAATATAATTAAAAAAATTTTAACAGTATAATTAATATTTTTACATTGAAATTGTGGATTTAAATGAGTTGTGCATTCTGTTATATAAAATATATAAGTATTTATTAAAAAAATAATAATAACATTAAATTAATAATTTCAAGATCCAGATAAATTTTTTTAATTCGAATAACAAACTGTAATGTAAAATATTTATATTTTCAAAAATTACTTTCTCAACGATTTATAATAATTTTTACTAGAGAGAACTCGAAACATAATTAAAGATTTCTTAACGAGATAATTAATATTTCTACATCTCTCCATGATATTGCGAGTTTAAATTGGGTTGTATATCTCCGAATATCTTTTTAAGAAATTGTAATTATTAATTATGTTATTTTTAATATATATATATATACATATAAATTTAAAATGCACTAAAGAGAACCGGAACATAAAAAGAATAGAATTTCTTTCACTAAAATCACTTCTATTACTCCACAAAAAATGGAGGTACAACAATTTTATTCACTATAATGAATTTGGTAACATAATCAAAATGACTGCTAATTACAGTTTCCTTTTATCAACACCAAATGAATGACCAAGAAATTTAGAGACACTTAAAAATGAATTTTGATGAATGAGAGAAAGAAATAGTAAAAGCAAAGAGATCTCTAATGGTGTAAGTAATATAGAGTAATTAATAGTAAAGAATCAAAGAATCATCAACCAGCTAATGTACAAGGCTTGAGGAACCAAAATACATCCAAGCCTCTCTGTTCTTTTCCATTGACAATGGAGACACTTTTGTTTTTGTCTGCAGATTCCTCCATTATCTCCTTGTTTGGCTGCAGCAGCTCTTGAAGAATTCCTCCTCTCTCCTATACATCACAACAAATTAGATGAATGTCAGAGACCAGATTCCTTTACTAATCTTTTGTTTTCCAACTCACATTTCTCATGATTCACTTCAGCACAAAAGTAAAATCTACGTCATAAAAGGAGATTCTGTTAGACTCGTGAATTATAACACAAGATTAACTTTCGATTTTTCTCCTTTGACATCTTTGATCCATGCTTGAGCAAGATTTGATCATAGTTATTTTGTATATTAGAAGTAACTGTAAATCACAACAAATTCGATGAATGTTAGAGACCAGATCCAATAACTAGTCCTTTGTTTCTAACTCTTGTTTCTCATGTCCACTTCAGCACAAAGGTAACAGTGTTCAACATAAAGGAGATTCACTAATATTAACGGATTATAAGGACAGATTCAATAAGACTACCGGATCATCCACGTGTTAGCAAGATTTGGTCACAATTCTTTTGTAGATCAAAGGTGACAATATTCGAAACAAAAGGAGATTCAATTAGACTCGTGAATTATAACAGAAGATTAACTTTCTGTTTTTCTCCTTAGACATCTTTGATCCATGTCTGAGCAACATTCGATCATAGTTATTTTGGATATTAGAAGTGACTCTAAATCACAACCAAATCACATGAATGTGAGAGACTAGATTCAATCACTAATTCTTTGTTTCTAACTCGCATTTCTCATGTCAAACCTCAGCACAATGGTAACAGTATTCAACATAAAGGAGATTCAATAAGGCTAGCGAGTTATAGGGACAGCAGATAATTCACGTATTAGTGAGATTCGATCACAATCCTCTTGTAAATTAGAAGGGACTTTACCGTAGGTCAAAAGCTTCTTGATTGTAACTCATTATTTCTCAATTTCATATCAGTAAGAAAGTAGCAACAACAGAACCTATAAAGGAGCAAGCAGCTAAATACATACCAGGGGCCTGGATCTCGAAGGCTTTGGAGGGGAAGTTTTGGAAGGTACCCTGGTGACAGAAAAGCATTGCGGGGAGGGAGGATTGGTCCGGATTTGCAACAAGCGTTCCTCTCCTTTGTGTTTTACATTCTCCATATTCAGAGAGATTGGGATGTTCTCTGTATCCTCAAATCTTCTGCAGAACCAAGTCATGATAATGAATGTTCATACTACAAGTGTTTTTTGGTGGATAAATTTGAAGACCATGTCTTTTAATAGAATATATACATACATAGATAACCTCTGTGTAAAACATGATTATATGAACACAATTCAGAAACAAGAAATTGATGCTAATATACCGAAAGCCATGCTTCATTTGATCCATGGAAGAACAATGACTACCTAAGCCAATATGAAAAAGCTAATGGGGCAAAATTCTGAATTGTAAATCCAACCTTACTTAAGCACAGAAATGCATTGTTATCTAAGAAGTTTCTTACTAAAGAAAACAGGTAGATTAGTTTGTTTGTCATAAAAATATTTACCAATACTGCATAAAAATACAAAACAAAGTACAAAAATTGACGATGTGATAGGATTCGAACTTACTTTTTCCTCCTTGGCTTCTCCTTAGCACTTGTATTCTCCATCCCTTCACATGGTTTCTCTTCAGCCACTTCAAGCAAAGGCTTCTTCTCTTTCTCCCTCACATCCACCTCACCAAGAACATCACACGAAGCTGCTTCTTCCTTCCTCACCACCTCGTTCTTCTCGCCTACTTGACTTGTCTTTCCTTTGTTGCTCTCGTTATCCCTCGCCCTCGTTGCCAATTTCTTCAACTCATTGCAAAATTCAGTAATATGACCAAGTATATCTACTCTTCCTACATACAAATTCCTGGCTGATAGTGTGCTTTTTAGCCTTGGCAACTCTTGGTTTTGCAAGTTGTCATCAACCGCTTTCTTTTTCTCTGAACTTGATTTGATAGCTGCCTTGGTTGACTTAGTCCGGGAAATGGGAGGTGTTGACAAATTTGGATTCTGATTTTCACCATCTTCATTGAATTGATTTGGCCTTCTTTTCAATTTTGCATATCTGGTTGGAAGGGAAAGAAACAAGAAAGTGAATTTTGTATCATTAATTAAACAAACTGTTCTTCAATTAGCAAAGAATCTGGATTTGGTACCTTTGATTTCGATCCTGAAGCGGAAGGATCTCATCATCTGAACTTCGAAGCTTCAAAAGATCAATGAGAGTGAAAAGTGAGACAAATGGGCAGTTCTTTAGGATTAAACCTCTGTTTGAGGAAAGTGCAAGAAAAGGAAAAAAAAAAAGAGAAAACTTTTCAATCTCATACCAAAACAGAAATCTTCTTTGAATCAATTGATTTCCAGATTTGAAATAAAGAAACAAAATTTTGTTACTTTCTAAAACCGAAATATCATCTCAAAAGTCAACAATTTCTCATTCAAACAAAGAAAGATTTACCTAAAATTTCTCATAAAATCACATAATCACAAGACCTAATCAGCTTATAGAATAAAAAAAGCAAGAATTTTTTCCACTAGATTCTCAACTTAGCGTGATATCTGAAATTGGGTTAGTTCCCAGAAAGAACATCACCATTTGCAGCAGATCCTAACTTCACATGCTTTTCCTGATTCATTTTCTGAATGAACAAACAGAACAGATATTTCTTTTCCCTATATAAGCACAACTTCATGACAAGAACACAAACCTTTAAAGAAGGGGGTGTTTTGACGAAATCCTCTGCTGATTTAGGATGATTACAATCTGTAATAACAAACCCATCAAGCTCAGTAAACATATATAGACTTACCCATATATGCACATACATACATATACCTTATATATATATATATAGAGAGAGAGAGAGAGAGGGAGGGAGTAGCTACCTGGTCTGCAAAACCATGATTCATCATCAATGGAATCTTGAGGAGCCAAGAAATCTACCCATTTGGGTGCGTTAATATGCTCATAAACAATGTCTTCAACAAACTTGGACTCTATTTTCTTCCAATCAATCTTGGCTGGTTCCATTACAATCGCAGAGAAAAGAGAAATAAGAAAAAGAAGCAGACCCAAAAATTTTCAGCAAGAGAGAATCTTTAAAGGAGAAACACAAGGAAGAATCAGAATATGACTGAAAGAAGCAGACCTAGAAAATGAAAATGGGGGAAGGAACCAGAGGGAAAATGAGAGGAGGAAGAAGAAGAAAGTAACCGTTAGAAGAGGAGCGAGAGAAGAGAGTGAACGTTAGTGGGCCTTCATTTTTTTTGACCGTTGGAGATTTGTTGACCTTATTCTATAGGGCTCTGTGATTAATTATAACTTTCTAGGATCTGACAAATTTCATCAACACCCGTTCCTTGTTTGGCTGCCAGGAAAATATGTTGCAAGGGGCATGAGCAGGAGAAACGTGACACATGACTGCTCGTTCCTTAAAAGAATAAACCCTTAATTTTGATATTTATTTATAAATAAATAATCCGCATATATTATTTAATTTATTAATATATTAATAAATTTTTATAATGAAGTTAACATTCATCTCAAATTTTATCCATGCACTTTTTACATTTCTTAATTAAGTCATTTTCTAAAAATTCAACAATTAATTTAGTTAATGGTAGATATGATAAACTATTTCTCTACTATTCAACTCAAAGTATACATATGATCAACTTCTAGCAAAATTATCCTATTATAAAATAACCAACAACTTATAGTCTAATTTGTATAATTCATGAGGATTAATTTCTTGTTTTCCTTTTCGAAGAAAATAGTTGAAGCGCATAAACTATAGTTAGAAATTAACTATACTAATTGAATAGTTAACAGGTAATTATTATTAATTATTTTAAAATTAAAAATGTAGCTAACTATTGTGTATATATAAACTCTAAAATATCATTGATATCTAACTAATTATAGATAAATTGTTAATTACAAAATAATTAACAGCAACTAACTACTCAACTGACTATGATTAACTTTTAACTACAATTTAATGATAATAATTACTCTAATATAGGATGTTATTTCTACTTTCTTTGTTACTCAAATGCACTATATCAATCCATTTATTATTTCAATCCTTTATCAAATGTTACCTCCACTTAGAAAAAAATATAAAGTTAATATATAAATTTATGAAGTTTAGGATAGACTCTTATAAAACATGCTAATAATATGACTATAATCTAGTACACTTTTCTTCTAACTAAAATATAGAATGAAAAAAATTTTTTATGCACATTTCATTTTAAAATCAAAATTTAAACTTAAAAAGACATAAATTTTAATAATCTAGTATTGTCATATGGCATTCTGAAGATTTAGTTGGTCCTTGCGAATAGTTTGATGCACTATCTTCTTTCAATCATTTGAGCGAAATGTGGCAAAAAGAAAAAATATTTATGAACCAACCTTATTGTTTCCACTCTGCAAGAATTATGAGATCACCCCAATGATGCCTTCAATATTCAAGGGTCGTGGACCAACTATAAAATTTTATTCACTAATGTACTGTGAACTTTTTACTATACAAAATTTTATCAAGCAAACTATAGACATATGTAATAGCAAGGTAAACATAGAAAAACAAAAAAAAACTCCGGTAGAGAAAGATTTTCCAAAGAGGGGAGGAAGAGAAGGAAATGTGTAGACTTCGTCTACTTCAACACTTTTCGTGTTTTAACACCTTGATTCATTGCCAAATACCTCAGTATTGCAAACCAGGCATATCTAACAAAAAACGACAGAGCCATTGATGGGGAAAAAAAGTAATTGTAGAGACCGAGATATTTAGTTTTGATGAAGTTTATTTAGCATGTACCTTATTAATGCCAAGCCATTTGGAAATGCATTCGGAATGATAAACATGCTTGCATGGCAATTTTATTTGTCGATCTCCCTTTCTGTATCTCGTTATGCAAACTACACATCTGTTTGCAAATAGTAAAATGTGAAGTTGATCTATTTATCTGGTACTTGAACGGTGCATCATATATCTTCAACTAAAGCAGCGAAAATATATCTTGACCGTTGTCTCATAAATCAATTGGCCGCTTGAGATGTAGTAACATAATTTCAGAAATCTAACAATTAAAATATATAAAGTATCATAACTTACTGCATCATAGTTTGATACAAGACAACTACTCTCCAACATCAACAATTTCGTGACCGGTCGTTTCCAGATTCCTCCATAAAGTAAAGGTAAGAAGTTTTTTACAGCCCAAGAAAATAAAATTATTATAGTAGTGAATATTTAACAACATGTATGCAGATAAATGAATAAAACTTAGCACATCTACGGGCAAAAAATTATTACCTTTCCCCTGACTTTTACCTTGAGAAGACTTTTCTAAACTTGTATTTCGTGGTAGGAAGTAAATCAATAAGTTCCTGTGAGAGTCCTCGACCTTGAGTCCCAACTGCCTCCCTCAGGTCAAGTAATTCTGGAATACAGGAACCAAACAACTAATAAACAATTGTTCAAGCATTAACTTTTAACCCCGATAGTTTTCAGAAACAATGAACGTTGGCATGTCAAGACCACGACTTTTCAAAAATATTCAGGATAATAAAGCTAGCATATCAAGACGAAAAAAATGAACTTGTTTACAATCAATGATTACGTTAAAAATCATTTATTTCTTCATTCATTAATGATAATGCTAACATGTCAGGACCAGGGCTAGCTCCAGCACACAGATAATATATATCCATTTTTTGATTTCTACATTTTCAAGGACAGAGTTCCATGCATCTATGAAAATAAGTTTTTTAAGAACTTCTTTTATACTATGAATTAAATTTATCATGTGCAAAATCCTTGCCCATGTGAAGTCTAGACGTCTATATTTTTGAAGACTGAGTTTTGTCTTGATCCATAACACTCTCATCAAACTTTTAACAATACATCTAGACTTTTAAAGCTAGCTTTTTTAATTAGGAAGTCATTTTAATGTAAATGTCCAGTATCAAGTTAGCAGAAAATGAGGATACTATATTATAAATATGAAGCAGAATAAAGTTATGGAGCAGGTCCTGCTATTTGGATTGAAGTTGTCTTGGCAAACGACATATGTTAATACTATTGAGGATATAAGTGTTATGCCCATGATCCAATTATTCGTATAATATTTTGAATACATCATTATTTGATAATTTATTGTAATATTAATAATAGTATTTTATTATCATATTTATTATCTTATAATTTAATTTATGTGATAAAATTTTTAATTAAATTTATAGCTTTTACATCAAGATGGAGATCTTGATAATGAAAATAAAATCTTTTATGATTTAATTTAAAATGTTCTTAATTATTGGATTATCAAAATATGATATTAATAATCCGATAAAACTAATATATATGTGATAGTCTCTATAAGATAAAAATTAATTGATTTCATTAATTAAATCACATATATAAATTATACATATGAATATATGATCATTGAACTAAGCCAATTGAGAATTTCTAATGATTAATATTACCTTAACCTGTCAATAGAGTATTATCTTATTTTGATAAGATGTAAGAATTTCCTTACATCTGATATCATCATAGTAATTGACAAGCCATTTATTATATTTTGATTCTGGATACTTATAGAAATAGAACTGTAGTTGAAAGAATATTGGATGTGATTAAATACTTGTAGAATTAATAATTGATCAAGACGAAATATGTCAACTTTGGTAATAAATTTAAACTCTATGTTATTATTTATTATAATGACTAAATTAAGATATTAGACAATGTCATTCATTAGTCAATTATAATTGACATGAGATATAATTGGTTATATATTGATATTAAATAGTTAAACTATATTTTTGGATTAACCTGGAACAATAATGACAGAATGAAGTATTACATATTTTTTTAGTAGGTTCTTAAAAATAATTGTACATTTCATACTATCTAGTCGTTAAAAAATATTGTTAGATGCCAACCTTAATTAGTAAATTGGTTTGACCAATTTGCTATCGATTTAATATTGAATTTATAGAACTGCACACTAATAAATATTTTGACTTTTATTAATTATTTTAATTATTTAATTATAATTTAATTTAATCAAATAAATAAATTTTTTATTTTAATAAATAATTATTATATTTTTTACTAGTACTGAGAATATAATTAATATTGAAGATAAATTAAATTTTTTTATTTTTGAAATAAGAAATTAATATTTATATTTTTAAATTATTATATTATTAGTGTAATAATATAATACATAGAGCTATTATAACAATTAAGATTATTATAAAATTTAATTTAAAATTAAATTAATTTATAAAATTATTTTATTAAATAATAATAATTAAAAAAGGAAAAAATATATGTATAAATATTTGGGTGTTAAAAAAAAAGTGGATGAATTTAAATAAATTTAGATGTGTACAGGGAGTGTCCAAAAGGAACTATTCCACCCATGCCAACTATATATATGAGTGGGGGGTTTTTGAAAAAAGTGGAGAAGTGAACTAGAAAAAGTAGTCAACACACCAAAAATTAAAAAAATTGATGAATTTTTATGATAAGATTTTTTAAAAAATTTTTAACATATATATTATTCATTTTGTGTAACACCCAAGTGAAATAAAATTATATTTTATTGTTTTTATTATTTATTATTTATTATTTATTTGATTTTTATATAATTTATTTTAATTTGATTTAATTTAATAAAAAATAAAAATAAAAATAATGATAAAATTGGATAAAATATTATTTGAATTTAATTGAAATTGATTTTGGAAAAAAGGGGTGAGGGTGTTTTTGAAAAGAAAATCGAAAAACGGGGGTCAAAACGTAATTTAGAAAAATTGTGCCACGTCAGCAGCCACGTCAGCGGCCCGGTCAGTAGCCCCAGCCAACCAGGACGCGCCCGTGGCAAGAAAACACTGATCAGGGGACGGGCCACGTGGGCGCGATCCGCGTGCGCGCGATCGGACGGCCCATATTCACGCGCACGGATGGCCCAGATTCAATCAAGCACGGACGGCCCACATTGCATCGCAATGGACGACCCGTTTCACCCTCATACCGGACGGGGTATTGAGGTTCATGGTTTTGGCACCCATACTGGACGAGGTATGGGGACGGCCCTGGAATCAGGTTGTAAATATTAATGGTTCACATGTAGCGGGAACCCCCTATGGATCCCCAGGGATACTAGTAGGCTGGTAAAAGAGGAAATATGTTTTTTGATGATTGAAATGTAAAGGTATGATATGTGTTATGTTATAAAGTTTATATGATTTTATGATGATGATAACGTTATTGCTTTCATGTGGTGTTTTCATGGATCTCACCGAGGTAAGTGGACAGTAAAAGTTTTTATGTTAATAAACGAGTTCGTTATAAATTATACTCCATTGGTCATTTTTGCTTTCTACTCACCTTTATCTCCGTG